ACAGAATGGATATCCATGGAATTCTCCAGTTAAACAATCTGAAATAAAACAAAGTTAGTCAGAATATAAGAACTCGATTAAATTGGATGGACGAGTAAGTAGAACCAAATTTCAAAAAATAAATTACGTGTTCCTGCTTTATATTCAAGTTTTCTCATCTTCACTAAAAGTAAATGTTATCGCTAATCACCTGGAGCCTATACCATATTGCTCAATGTCTCTCTGTTGAAAAGAATCTATTTTACTTTACACGGGGTGTGTAATAGACTTACCTCCACGTGGTGCACCCTGGGCAACGTATACTCATACGGCAAAAAAGTCTATTAATCGGCAGTTGACTTCTGACTTCAAACTACCATGACCCCATTACATTTCATATTCGAATAATTTCACAGTATTCACCTCACCTTTTTTCTACCTTTGTATCTGCCTGTCTCTTTTACGTCTGTGAATCATTATTCTGTCCCCCTCTCCACTTTTTACCAGTTGGATGTTCATCTTCCTTTCTGTGAACCCCGAAGTCAACTAAAGAGCTAATGATACTTATCATAACGCCTGCCATTTGAAATAAATAAATTTTACTTTACACCTTGCTTACGTTTCAGGTACTCAGGTTTTGTAATTGATACATGGAAACTAGTAAATGATTGAATGCTTCTCGTCTCTCTGCATAAACAGTTCTGATTGAGAGAATAATATATTTTTTTTCTAGACGGGAGACATGTACTTCCTGAGATTCCTGATGTTTGAGTGGTCCCAAATACATTGCAATAACACTTCAATTTTAGACTGAACGGTTGATAGGTATTAAAATGTAAATTGAAAGCCGACATAAGCTAAACTTACCCCTCAATACGCTCATAAGTTGATGCTATGCCTTCAATAAATTCCAAGACACGATTCTTCTTTTCCTTAAAGGCATTGCGGAATGTCTTCACTGTTTTGCCTTCAGACTGTAAGAGTAAAACAATAGAAAGTACAAATTATAATAGAGATGAAATATAGCAAAAACTCACCTTATTTGGGGCCGGTGTCTGTGCCTTCCCTTCTTCTTCCCTCTCCTCTGGCATGTCACCCTAAAATAGCGAAAAAATATGATCATATTATTGGTATTAGTAGTACGAATCCCCGTTTAATATAAAATTACTTACAGAAGTATTTTTTATTGAGAATATGTATTCATCTAGATTTTCAAGGTCCTAAATAAAGTGAAAAAAGCGATGAAAAGGAGAATCAGTTATTTTTCCTCGGCAAAACATCACATCGAATAGTTCAAACTAATTCAGCATTCCATAGTTTACTACACCTGTTTCTTTTTATTGTGCTACCTTCGTAAAATTTGGTCAAGTTGAATATCAATTTATTCTTACTACTCTTATCTGGAGGAAAGGCGACCTATTATTTTTCTGATTAAGAGGCTTTATTCTAATGTTGACCTCGAAACATTACTTGAATGATTAGTTTCTCGGGTTAGGCTCAACGGGCAGGCATTTGTGAGAGCTGATTAGAGTAACTTTTCATACCTCTTTTATGCGGGGTGGAAAAGGGAGCGCATACTTTCACTCTTAGGAATTTTAAATTTTGTGTCCCCGTCTTACCTCTAATAGTACTTGTTTATCAAGCATATATTCGCCTAGTTGACGCCTAACAACACAGTTCATCCTTTACTTTTGCCATCATGAACTCAGTGTTTCGGTCTCTAAAAGCACAATTTCTATTCCTCACTACTCTTCTTAAAGGCTAACTTTAATGGTCATGGAAACGTGTTAGAAACCGCAACATTAACAGGCCTACGTATTTCAGAAATCCATGGAGGAATCGCATCGATTTCTGTAGTTCACTTGGCTCTCTACTGACTGACACTAATTTTTATAAGAAAACCATAAATTTGAAAGCATCAAGGAAGTACGCCTCTAAGAGGTCATGAATGTAGAGAGAAGAATTTGACTTTCTATAAAGGTAAGTAGTCAAAATTCGCAAAAGTGCTTCTTTTGTGAAGTCAATAAACGTAAATCTATTAGCGGTGTAAGTGGCTCATTTACCTATAGTTTAGCTTGAATGATTCATTTCAATTTGCTCACCATGCTTTGTTCGTCTTTAAGTATTCTGTGCTTTACTCCAACTATCTCAACCGAGAGTCCAGCCTTCTTTTCCTGACTATTAACCCTTTAGTACTCTTATTCTACTTCTTTTCACTTCCTTTTCCATTAATGCGTTCCAATGTCATTTTGCTATCTCATGTAATATTTCTACTCTTGAAAAACTACATCTTTCGATAACACTGAATTTAAACAAAGATTATTAAGTTTGGGCATCCGCAAAAAATATTTAATTAAAATATTAGGTTGATTAGTTTTTAGTAGTTGAGCACTTCCCAACTAAGCTTCTCACCTTCAGGCTTGTTGACAGTTGTTTAGTGCTTTCCAGCCCATTATCCCCACAATCATAGGACGTTAACTCGCTCTCCTCATTCTGTACAGACGATTTAGAATTGCGAAAACGATTAGAAGTGTATTGCTCCAGCATTTCATATTGATTCTTGTAAATTTTATGTTCCAATGAAGAGGCCAATCTAACTGGAGTTTTTCTGTTCTTCGACTCATGTTTAACGTAGTCTACCTTCCTCCGATTAAATAGGCGATTCTTCAGTATTATGAATACTAGGAAGAGAGGTATGAAGTAGGGTTGGAAGTAGTACACTATTAACTGGTAACCCATAAGAGCGAGGATCGAGTTAATTGGATTCTTCCAAACCAACCAATCCTCCACCGTTTGGTTGATCCATCCAAGCAATGTAAAGAGGGGTTTCAAGTGCTCCAAACGCTGTTGTAGTTGCTGTATCATTAATAAGTGGACTAAATGCATAAGTAGGTAAGGGGGGAGGTGAGTTAATTAAAATGTTAGCAAACAAGAGCCACAGCAAAGGTAATGAATTAGAGCAACACAAAGATCCCTCATATATAAGCTATAACATAGTTGTAAGTAATGGTACAGATATCTTGATCAGGCTAACAGTGTTTAAGACCCATCGATATCTAGCTGCTAGTAAAAATTCAAATTTTTCCATGTACTCAGTTAAACTATTACCTTTACTTCTAAGGTGAACTTGAGTTTCATATTTTAGTTGAAAAGTTAAATCCATTAAGTTTTCATTACATTAGGACATTTCCAGATCGGTAGTTCGAATGTAAAGGTGGGGGCCTATCGCTATAATGGTGCTTGCTCAGGTCTATGCAAGTACTGCCAAAAACCTGGTGAGCAAGACTTTAGGAGGAACTAAGGAAACCGAATACTGTATCACGTGTGTTCTTCTCTCCTACCTTTTTAACGATTTTATGTTGAAATCTCAATTACAATACCTAATATACATAGGCAAAATGTATTCTTCAGCACAAACCACTGCATTACCTCCAAATCATGTCTTCGGCATTCCTAAAATAATATTTGAAAGTCATTTTCACTTTCCTTTTAGAAAATACAAAAATGCAGGTTTGATGCAATCGTTTGATAATTCCTTTCCATACCAATAAAAAACAGTTGAAATTATCAAACCAAATATTATTACTTAATTACTTAATTGTTTTAAGAATTTAAGAAAAAATAATGAAATCTGAACGTGATATTAGGACTGAAAATATAAGAATTTTCTAGTCAAAACAACTTATATTAAAAACTAATAATGTTATGTAAATAGTACGGTAAATTGCCTTTTGTTTCATTGCAATTTCTCGATATTGTGGCTCCGCCGGGAAGAAAGATTTGAGCGCGGATTTAAACTAATACAGTGAAAAAGCGTGCATTAATGGAGGCAGTTACGAAATTCTGAATCAATTTATTCGCGTCAGACTGACCTTATTGTAGACTAAATTAAACTCCAGTAGTATTGACCCCTTTGTTGGATTCCTGAGGTCGGGCGTTTTGAGAGCATACCACTTGCTACCCCCATTTTCCACCTAAATAGGCCAAGAATCAACTTGCAGGTTATCAGGAAGGTGTGATGAGTTCCTCTCATGCCTAGGAAAACTTACGCGTAGTGGGTGTATAGCTAACCCCCCAATGACTTCATTCTTGTTTTTCTCACCCTCAACCACAGATATTTTCATAATACTGTGTATATCGGAAAGAGGTCTACAAGGAACCAATGGAAATATGATTAAAAAAGAGGTTTAAATTGATGAAAGACTACAAGGAAACTCACAAAACAAAGCATCGATTCCAGGTGGGATTTTTTCGCTTTATTATACTCTGGGTTCGCAGATGGGTATTTTGGATATCGACCACACAGAAGATTTCAGTTTTACCATTTATAGCCTTGCCTCCCAAGCCCATGGCACTGCAAACTGAAATGTCCAAGTTGAAAACGGAGCAGAAGCTATCAGCAGTATGTACCAATAACAGAAGAAAATAAGAACTTACTTTTCAGTCTCATCCAGCCAATGTCTTGGAGGTTTTTGAAGGACTTTCTGAGGCTCTTTTAAGGCAAATAAAGCTATTATCTGATTAGAAAAAATGTAAGCCACCTTATAATATAAATTAATCTAATTAAAAATTTGAAATACATTTTTAGAATAAATAAGTGTTAACTGGGTGACTCATGTAAGGCAAAAAATGAGTTAAAAGACAGAGATGTACTATCACATGAATGAATTTTTTTTAAAAAAATGCCATCATCGCATCAGGTAAACGGCTCAAAACTGATACGTCAAATCATGCCAACACAAATTAGCATGATTGAGTTAAATTTTTTGTCCGTTTTTATTTCTATTTCCAATATAATGAGGTATTATTATAATACGTTGGCAAGATTATAAACTAAGTTAATCAAATTTTGACACTTTGTTTGCGTTGACTCCTCCGGTTATAATAAATTCTTTTTAAAAGTTTAATCTCTAATAGTAATTATAATTAGGTTAGCTTCTAACTAAAGTCTGTCTTGTCCCTGGACCGTGTCGGTATCGATTTAGTCCTCACTGATCTCATGGCCTTTACGAAAAATTATTCTTTTGCACTCATACATGGTTACGTGTAAAGATGAAAAATTTTCGTTCCATTTGCTGGATATACTGGTACTCAAATGCACTTTTATTTTAATTGTGTTTACGCCAGTTTGCTATTTAAATTCAACTGGTTGGATGAATTTACAGTACGTTATCTAATTTCAGGTAATATTCCTAAACTAACCACAAATGAACGGTGGTTAGAATAGAGAAGTTCTATTACTATAAGCAATTAACTAAGACGAATTGAGTCCGGATAAACAGTCACCCAACTAAACACTCTTTTTTCAGCAGCAAAATATCAATATCGACAAGAGAAAAAAATCAATAACTTTCACGATCTTGCTTTCTTTCTGACTCATCTCATTTTACTCTGCTTCTCCTCGTTTGATTTCAACTTTGAGTTTACCAGAAGTCTTTTGGCTTTCTACGCGTCCTTAATGAGTTGCATATCTGTAAAACTGAAGTCATTCCACGGCGTTTAAGTCAATTTACTTGTTGGAACTATGCAAGTGTAAATAAGAAGAGGTAAATGGAGTTTTAGCTGGTTTATATTTAACTTCCCCAATATGCGGCCTCAACAGGTTTCTGTGGATGTTCCAAATATGACCATTCCCCACATTTAATTACAGTTCCAGTTGTTCAAGAATGGCTGATTCGGAATTCACAAGGAAACAAGAGATCATGACATAGTCTACTATTGATATTGACCAGGGGGTGTTTTCTCTTCGGGAGGAAATCTAGTATTGAAAGTCAGGTATTCACAATTTTGTGAATAGGGCTACCAATGAGATGTACGAATCTATTTTCAGCAACAAGTAGAGGATGGTGGTTACCTCAGATGTATTAGAACAGGCACACAAAGGAACGATGTCCTTTTGCTCGAGCGCAATTGCTACGGCTCGTGTAAAGCTATATATCGTTTGTAGCACACTTACAAAACGTCGATGATGCCTTCTCTGAACAATTCTCAGGGAATGGATATTACTTTCTAGAATTTGAAATCGTCTAATTCCTTTAGCCAGACCACACCTACCAAAGAGGGAGTCACTCTTTTATTCACGGAAGTGTCGTTTTTAATTATATAGAATTCAGCCACAGTTGATTTATAAATTTTGATATTTGTTTCATAAAGCTTTCCTGGCATTTTGCTGTATAATTCCCCTTTCTTCCTATTGTTCCATAAAAAATTTATCAGTTTTTGATAATATTTTCCACATCATTCCTTGAAACACTTAACTACTTTTGTTAACCACGCCGTTTCAGGTGGCAAATTTACACAAATAGGGATAAAAATGAAAGCAGAAGAGGGTAAATTTAAGATTTTAAAACCTTCCCAAATGACATCCAATTGCCTTGGAAAGTTATGCACTCCAAAAGGTTATGCATTAGTTCAAATAAATATTTACAAAAAATAATTAATGTAAAAATAGGACAAATTGCAAAATAAGGTGTTAATGTAATCATATCATATTCGTTTGATTTTCTACTTGATACATTTGTTTATAGTTTAATGCTCCGAATTCGCCCCAGTTTCCTACTTGGCTGAAAACCATTGCTTATTCAATTTGTACCTTAATTAACTGAGGGATTGCAAAATTCAATCATGCAGTTGTATTCGTATATAAATCGTTATTTTAATAAGCCGAAATCTGTATTCCTCTCCCCATGCATTCATCTCTACCTTTATTTTTAAGCACAATACAGTAATACGACCATTCACTACAGTCTGGAATGAATAAACTCTCAAAATTTCTACTGTTTGAATGCAATTAATTTTTTTGATACTTATGCAAACACGCAAAATTAAGAAGGAAATGTGAATGAAACGTACATAATGCTCGTATAAATGTTCCAACAGAGTAGGGGAAACATTCTTAAGGTCAGATTTGTCCTCATTATCAGAGTAAACTTCTCCAGTAGACAATCTGATTCCATCATCACTGAAAATAAGACTGGAGAGTGATTGCGATCGTGGAATTCCCGAAGCTGATGAAATGATGGATGAGGTTTGTTGATTAGCCTCTAAACGATCCATCAGAGGGCTTCTGGTTGATGTCGTCAAACCAGTAATTGTTATAAGCAAAAGTAACCTGGCTTCATTCGAGTTCTTAAGGAGTTGAATTTCCGTTTTCGTTGTGATTTCAAGAGGCATGTCATTTAAATCAATAACTGTTCTAAAATATAAGAAGGAGCTAACTCACTATATGTTTACTGACGTACTATTGATGGGTATTTTGAATAGGAGCTTGTGTAACATGTAATGCCAACGCGTAAATGCTTAATTGGTCGAAGACGTGGAACCATAATATGGTAGAGATCTTCACTGTATGCTTTAACACTCGAATAATGAAAATTACGCCATTTTATATAGAGTAAAACTACTTCAATTTCCCTAACTCTCTTGCCTCTCAATCGTGAAGATTTACTATTTATACGCTCTGAAAAGAGCTATGCCATATCTTTCGATAAGAACCTTGCAAAAATTCCGCAGAAAACCCTAGACTAATTATCTTTAGTCTCGTTCACATTTTCAGCTGATCAGACAGACGAATTTAACCATCTTATAAACGAAAGGAGGTCAATCATACTCCATGTCTCGAAGGGAGTTTACCAATTTGGTCCAATAATGTGAGTACCGGGGTAGTCTCGACTAGATTTAAAGGCTACTGAAAGTTGATTGATGGTTAAAGAGTGAATTTTAAAGGAACTTGACCTGGAATGGTAAAGAAGTAAAATTTACTCACATTTTCACAAAACATATTATGTGGATTTGCATTGGAAAGCATAGTACCCTAATTTATTACAGTTCAAGTTGTAAGCTAAGCTTCAAGGATTTGAATAAAGGTTGAGAGGTTTGAAAGTGTGCCCTCTTCATATGAAATTTAAATAGAGAAAACCTACTCTCCAATTATCGAGTTCCGTGGTATTCCACCAGTACCGGGTCGAGTTTCTCTATCGTATACCGTGACTCGAATGTACCTTGGAGAGCCATTCTTTACTTGAAAATCAAACTCCTCTAGGAAGTCGGGGTTACTATTGTTCTTTACGATCTACAAATTCAATGGCTGAGAAGTAAAAGTTGAGTATGGTGACCCAATCAAAATAATAGCGATATGAACATACACTTGACGATTTCTTTTCAGATCCGTAAGTAAATTCAATCTGAGGTGACGGCTGAAGAGTAAGCGACTTTGCTGCCCAGTGTAGAGCAACTAGAGTTGCAGCGAGTGTTTCAGGTGAGGTACTACTGGCACCAGGACTAGCAAGATTGACTACAGAGCTGCGTGAATCATGTCCAATCACAGAACCCTCACAAGCAGAGCTATTTCCACCAAATAAACTTGAGTTTAAAAATCCACTAACAGTGCTTGCAATTCCTCCGCTCTTATCCTCCAAACTATTTCTGTTCACCATCTCCACTTGTGGTATTGATCGAAGTCCACGAGCTCCGATCAAATAAACATTCACGAATCCACTCTCTACGACTTTGGTGAACTTAACTGGATCTCCCACCTCCAAATTGTCCACAAAATTAGACTTCGGAAACCCCAGTCGGGACATTGGCAGAAGGAATTCGATCGGCCATCGTATTTTGGGAATATACAGCTGCCAGTAGTGAGTGGGACAGCGTTTCTTTAAAGCTACCACTGGGAGGTCTTGACAACAAAGGCCTGGCCAATCCAAAAAGGGATTCCAGGGAATATTGAAAGACTTGGCAGCACCATCATTCTCCAAGTATCGGCGCGTGACTTCATACGGAGAAAAGAAGAAACTCTCATCGGCACGAGTTGACGGGTCAACGATTGGTGGCTTGGATTCCAGTAGTAAACTCTTACCCTTTTGGCGGGTAAACGAGGGCAAGCGAACACGGGAACTCACTATATGGGAGAGTCTCTGTTGAAAAAAACAGGAAAATAACATTACTTAAACTAATCGAGGAACACAAACAATCAACGTTACCTTATAAATAGGTCTCGGAATCGACTCTGAGTTTGCTGTTTCACTCCCTAACTCACCCAGCATTTCTGAGTAATCAGAAGTTGCCAGAACCGTACTGTCTTCATCATTTGAAGTTAATATGCCAAATTCAATGCATGTTTCAACACATATAGTACCCAAATTCTGTGAATTCTTTTTTTTTAGACTGAAGTATTTGATTGGAGCTTCATGCGAGCAGACACTATTTGAAAATAAAATTATGCGGCAATGATAATTTTTAGTAGTTAATGTTAAAGTTGTATGGAAACTCACCTTTCATCTCGAAGCAAGTAGATGTAGGCTCTTCCAAGGAGTTTGTCCGATCGTATATTGTGTTTTTCGATTATTTGAAGCTAAAACATTTTTAAAAAGCCTGTAGAAGTTGATCTGATACAAATAAACTTTAAGTTAGTAAATTTTTGCTATTTCTTTGTTTGTTGCCTATTAATTCATAATCGTAATCTAGATACAGCTCTAGGCTTTAGCATAATTTTTTCCCAAAAATATTGATAAAAATGATTTGACAGTCTATATGAAGTAGTCTAATAACCCAAAAAATTTATGTCGAGGGTAGAAGAGAATTTTAAAATACAATTTTATTAAAAAGTTGTGTTCATAAATTTGGAACATCGTAAGTCCATTAAACACCTAGCCTTAGGCAATAGCTAAGATGTGATTTGGATATGGCATAGAGACTTTCCAATGTGCTATTTATATGGGGAAGAAGATGGGCAAATGTTAAAAAACCTATTGTCTCTGTGTTCAAAATTGATAGAAATTTTGAAACTTTTCTTAAATCTCCACATAGTTAATGAGTGTGTTAATACAACAGTAAACAGACTTTTCTTGCGCAATTCATTTTCTACATTAATTAAATTGTCATAAACAATTACCTTTGAGTTATTGTTAATTTAGCAGCCTAACGACGTAGTGAAGGCAATGCTTCCACTATCAAATTGTATTTTGACGCAATATTGTTATGATAATCTAGCTAAAGGTTCACCAGCTGTTTAAACAAAGTTATCAAACATTGGCTAAAAACTAACAAATACAATATCCAATATGATATATAAACTGTCTAATTGGAATGCTATCGTCACCATTAAGAGATTTGGGAAATTGGTAAAACATGCATAAATTAATGTTTATTATAAGCGCTACTTACTTGCAGTGGCTCATCGGTGTTAGTAATAGGGAAACTTATTGTCTTCTGCCATTCTGGGTTGGCGGTTTCACCAGAGAACTTAGTTTTTGTGAGAAGCTTATCCGCGTAATACACATGGACGGAACAGTTAAATTTGCCTTTAAAGGAAACATACTCACGCTTAATGTTATTTAAGTAATGTTGAACAAAGAAAAATCAATTTCACTCACCTTTAAGCTTAGCGCCTCGGATAGTAAGTTTGCATTTCCAGCCTAAACTTGTTTCCTATAACAAAAGAAAGTACAATGTGAATCAGGGGAATCACTATGCTAGTCACACAGGATATCACATGTAAGCTAAAATTGCGGTTTTCCCATTCCAATTTTAATAATTAATTTGCTATTCATGCAAAAAAATTTGGAGGAAGGTGGGGCGTTCTTGAGGCTACTCGAAACCGAAATTACGGTCACATACTTATTAAGAATGAGCGACTAGAGCCCACACCGTAACCCAGACTGCGTTTGTACATAAATACATATTCTGGCTCAATTTATATAAATCAAAGTGCTTGCGAAAATGGGAAAAGTAAAAATAAGCTTTAAAGCGGGAAAGTTTATATTTCTCCCATTCATTCAAGCTTGATCAGAAATTGAAAATGCAATCTTTATTGAATAAAAGCATGGATTTTGAATCTCCTCCCTTGCCACTCCAGAATAACAGGACTCAGACAAGTATACCTCCATGGACAATGGATGATTTCAATATTTATGTTGAAGACGCGATGATTGAAAGAAACCTGGTAACAATTCCCCACGATACCGATTCAATCTATGAACTTAAACTATCATTTTCTGATGAGGGATAAGCTAAACTGAACATGACTTTCTCAGTTAAAAATAAGAGTAAAGCGGATTATCTACCTTAACTTTAAACAAGTACTACTATGTATTTCAATCAGATCCAGGGGTAGTTTCGTGAATCATGGGTTATTTGCAAATGGAAGAATTCTTGGAGTAGATATGCAATGTCAGACTTTATGATAGTCAATATCAGTCCTTTAGATAACTTCGAGCTCCACAGAGAGGAGGAACGTCTAAGTCACAGATGTTTAAGAAACAATTACAAAGGTGGAGAAAAAGGTAAGGTGAGTACAGCGAAAGGGGTCGAATTTGACATTAGGTGAGGTTATGGCAGTTTGATGGGCTTACTTCCACTTTTGCAGAGTGGGCAACGTATACTCATTCGGCAAAAAAGGTCTATAAATCGACGGCTGATATGCAATCACAATTTTCGAATGTTCCCCTCCCCTCCCCCCCATCCCCATCCCACCCCCTCTCTATTCACTACTTTATAATACAATTTTCCCTTCAAGCCTTTCCAAGTACCCATACTTCTACCTGAAATAAACAGCCCAACTTGCAAACCAATTTTGATTGCCTAAAAAGAATTCATCGATTTGCACGTGTAGGTGTAAACGAGGGCCTACCTACCACCGGACCACCCATATTGAATTCTGCCTTAGTAACTCTGTAAAACATTCGGCTAATTTAAGTAAAGTCGCTTTGTTTAAGCAGTAAGTAGCATTTACTTCAATCGGGGCTAGTCTAGCTACCTATTGGCGACCTAAGTGGAGCTTTTGTTAATCCATATTATTCCTAACACATAGCTAGGAGCAGTCTCTTGAATTTCTGGTATCATACCTCAAACGTGGGTTGCATATTTAAGTCGTGGATGATTTCCGCTTTCTTCCTATAAAGCTAATCACTAGATGAAGCAAAAGATTTGAATTGATGAAGATGAGAATGAATTTGTTCGATTAAGAATGGACTGTTGGTTCAAACCGTAAGCAGGCTGTTCTTAAAGGTCGTGTTGTTGAAATGCGATAGTATTCCATAAATTCAGTTAGGATTTCTGAAATATTTAAAGATAAGGAAAATTTTTCCAAACTCAAGGTAAGTGCCTAGACAAAGTTACTTGAAAAAAAATGAATGAAACTAACCGTGTAATCAGGCTTGGAGTTAGCACGTTGCTGATGGTAACGTTTTCGCTCATCAGACATTTTTTGGTATCTATTTTTCACTTCTCTAGGCGACACACGACTGTCACTTTGAGAGCTTCCTGCAGTTGCCTCATCATCCTAGAAGGAGGAAAAGACACCTTCAAGATATGCTGCATGTCGTCTGATTGTCATTGTGTGTACATTTGTATTCATTTAAGTTAGTTTATTACAGCTCAAATTGTGAGGGTTCAATGGTTTAAGTCTAATTAATCACCATCACTACCTTCCCCATTTTATATGTGGTATATAGGGTGCGCAATAGACTTACCTCCACGTGGTGCACCCTGGGCAGCGTATACTTATGCGGCAAAAAAGTCTATTGATCGGCATTTGACTTCTCCTATGCGGCAAAAAAGTCTATTGATCGGCATTTGACTTCTGACTTCAAACTTCTATGGCCCGAATATTTTTCATTTTTGACCCCTTTCACAGTACTCATTTTACCTTTTTATGCCTTTGTGTCTGACTGTCTGTCTCTTTTACCTCTGTGAATCATTATTCTGTCTCCCATCTCGACTTCTTGTTACTTTGATGATCTTTCTCCTCTCTGTGGAGCCCCGAAGTCAGCTCCAGGGCTAATTATAACTTTCAAAACGCCTGCCATTTGCTATAAATAAATATGTGGTACAAAAATCTCTCCTAATCTCTATCGATTGGTTTGGGAAAGGTGATGGTCATTAGAAGATATTTTGTCTTTTATTTTGTTTATCAACGCAAGCACATGTTGACAGAATATTTATATCTACCAATCTTATTTACCAACAACTGCAGTCGTCACTCGTGTCAACACCATGCGTGACATAAAGAGCATAAATAGTTAATTAAAAATAACTGTCTTTAGTAATACATTTAGATTCCTACTGTAATTAAAGTTCCTAAACATACACCACAATAGACCATAATTCAGGATTATCGACGCAATCAATAGTCGAACTGAAACTTTTCTCAGTTAGGCACTTAATCCTGAACTTCGTAAAATCAACTGTTTTATTTTTCGTATCAAAATAAGTTCGAGAACACAAGATAAATCTTCAAAATCTCAAAGAGGATAAACCTTGAACAGATATAAGATAGGGTGTGAATACTCAATTCACTGTCATAGCAGAACTTTGTTTTGGAATTTTCCTATCTACGATAAATAGGATATTTACTGACCATCAGATTTGGTTTAACACTGGAGCGAAACTTGTGAGCTCGGCTTTACGCAGGATCCTAAGTGGCTGCCACTCCTTCACCTAAGCAAACCCTTACCCACCCCCCCCCCCCCCCCCTATCCAATTAAGCCGACCAATCATCGTTAAGTACGCTCCTCGAGTCATGTGGATTGAATATACTGAAACTATCTTGGGTTTTGAATGTGTGACCTCCTACTCCTCGGTGGCCGCCTCCAACCAGAATGATGTGAGCTGTTTCAACCCAAGAGCGGCTTAGGTTACTTAGACTGAAGTTAGATGTCTTCATAGACTTGCAATAAAAATAGTTGTAGTTTCCAGGTCTCGCCGGGGTTGCTTCATGGCGTCACTCTCAACCCTGGGTGGGCTTTTAAAAAGCCTATTCCAGTGGACCTGGGAGCTCTTATTTCTAAAGCCTACACTTTCGCCTAACTGAGTTCACTCATGAGGCCATCTATTACCTACTTACAATGACATTTAGGCTCCATTTTTTTCCAGCCACTACAGTTCAATTGAATAAACTCATTTCACACCTCTTTGATGGCGTTCCATGTTACCTTATCATTCAGATTGTGAAATACGCTGAGCTCAAATGAAAATGGAGGTTGCGTGAGGTCAAACCATGTGGATTACATTATGTTTTTAGAAAGTGATGAAAGTAAATTGTATTTGCTTCAAGTTAAGAAAATTAAAATCTTGCTTCTAAACTTGGTGCTTTGGAGTTAAATAGATCGTGTTGGACCATTAATAGTGACCTTAAATTCGAACAAATTTCAACTGCAAAGCCACTTTTAGATCCCGATTAAGTTGGACTAATAGGCATCTTCTTGTATAAAATAAGAAAACAGGAGGTGAATTAAAACCAACTTAGGAAAATGAGAAAAGAAAGGAGAATGGGTAGGAAGTGGAATGGAAAATTGAAATGAAGGGGACACCCATCAGTTCTGAATGAGCGGAAATGAGGACGTGATAAAGGGTGTGAGTTAAGATGTTATTGGATAATTTTTCGGTTTTGTGTTTGCTCAGACAAGGAACCAGTATAAATTATAACCCATACAGGCATGTATATCATTACGCGTTCGTCAGATAGATTTGGACTCTCTATCAAATTCTCCAAATGTTTAAATTTAATAACTTACCAGACGTGAAGAAGTGAGAACCTTTTTAACAGTTCTCTTCAGAGCATTTTTCAAGTACGTGGCATTATGAGTACTTCCTGAAGTTGAATGTTTTAAATTAACATTTTGGTACTTTCCAAATGGCGAGAAATCCTCATAGGTAGCAGCCCGTCCAAATCGATTTCTACGTTCCGATTCACCATCCAGAAAATCACTGAGACTCTCGCCACCACCTACACTTCCACTCCTCTTCACTTTGAGTCCTCCCATATGGAGCAACCGAATCTCATCAGATTTGTTGAGCTTGTTAAAGCGATCTCGTAGAAAACTTCGCGATCTAATATTATGCAATGCAGCTTTCGAAAATACTTGTTCACTCAGACTCCTCCGATGTTTGCGCTCTCTTTTTCCATTTTCTATGCCAGCTGAGGGTAATTTAGGGGTTGAGGGGGGAGTTCCAGGAGGTTCAGAAGAGTTGAGAAAAGCAGTGGAATCACTACCAAATCGACTATCCAAGAAGTCAATTTCATCAGTATCCAACATCGTGGCGCTTATAGTCTGCTACGCTCAGCTAATACCAAGTGAGCTCCCGCTTATACGAGGGTGAAGGATATGAAATAATCAACCCACATACTGGCAGTTGATGGTATCAAGCCTGCATATTGGTCAAATTGGCTAGCATGACCTCGGAGAATGCACCAATAGTAATTAAGCACATGACAAAATAAAGTCATTCTGGGATGATCACACAGTCGGTATTTATTATCACAACTCACCGACTCTCGTCTACAAGTGCTGGTTCTTAAACGTCAATAAAGCACAGTCAATTTACATAAAGGCAGCAACAAAAGTGCAATCAGTACGACTAGCTTCCTTTAAAATTATAATTAATTCCATCGTTACGCAGGTTTGAGTGGATTTAGAGTGATCATATAACCATTAAGTCACAACCTTGTGACAGCTTCGCTTTCTTAAAACTTGGGTTTTTTCCAGTAGGAAAGTAATTACCGAAACATTTGTTTTCCGTCACTGAGTCAGGGGTTAGGGGGTGGTATGAAAACACCTGAGTAACCGGGATACGCAAGATCAGATGGAAAGGTTAAATTGAATCCCATTGGAACATAGTTCAAAAACCGGGTCAAAGGGCGGCGGTGGGGGGGGGTGTAAGGGGGTATAGCATGCAAACGAATAGTTTGGCATCAGAACACCAGCACATGTTTAGCCAATCTCTTATTAAGTTCACTCAACATGGAGAGATTATCCCGGCTTTGATAAAACTTGTCTTATGGGCCGCAGAACTTAAATGAACTATTCAATGTGCGATATAATGACTTTGAGTATAGTTACTCCGCCATATTCGAAATCACTGCAACTCTCTTCAGTCGCTTGATGCAGGTGATGGGAGCCAATAAAGATTATATTGTTTAGGTGTTTATATATTGATTCGGCATTTGGATGTATGGCCCGAAAAATTCCTGGAGAATTGCCATGCGAATTTAATTATTTATTACACTGTGCGAAGTGGTACAGCTGCAAAAAAAAATAAATTTGGAGAGTTCCTGACCTTGAGGTTTTTTCTATATCGAAGTATTTTAGATTTCAATATATGCTACGAAAGTTTTCACTTACTCTAAGAAGCATTCAAATAAAAATCTCTGGAAAAAGAAAATGTCTTACGAAATGCGTTATTTAATATGCAGGAATTTAATTAATTAGGGATGCATGAAGGAATTGTCGCTGTCACGTCAAGGAAACTGGACCTTGACCCACTGAGCAATTGTTTAATCTTACCCAAAACTATTTTCAAAACCCTATTGATCAACATGAAAATTTTCACATTTTACGTTCTTCGTACCATCTTAACAAGGATCTGATTTATTTCCCATAGATTTTGCAATCAGCTGATGACCTAGATTTAGAATGGCACATTTATCCGGAATAAAGGACACTCATTAGAGGAATGTTGATTGCAGTGAACTAAGTTGATATTCCGATCAGGTCTCAGACGGTCAGTTCATACACTTCTGCCAAATAGCAGTAATTTTCAAGGTGATTATTTATTTATTTAAAGGGCAATAGACAGGTTATAGAAGGAGGATTAAAATGTTCAGTACACTTGAACATAATTATTAAACGATTTATTTGGTCAACCATCTTCTCTGCCACTGACGGTCTTTAAAAATGTTTCAACTAGATATATCCTAAAACATGGTTTCACTACTGAGTACATTGAAGGGTATCCAGGTGAGAGAAAGCATCATACTTGTCACAGTGGCCAATTTCGCCTAAAGCGCGATAAGATTGTAGTTGGGCAGTGTCCTACATAATATTTTTACAGTAATATAACTATTTTTATTACAACACTTAGTGGACTTGATTGATTTCATTACCAAGCTTAATACGCACACAGGCACGCACACAACACACATTTTGATTAAGTTGATTTCATTCGTGGGTCTTTTTGACATTTAGAAGCTGACACCGGTGGGGCGTGGGCTCCCCTCCAATCATCAAATGATCTTTTATTCCTACTCTACAAACTTTGTTTTAATTTAGCGTCCCTTTCAGTAGGCAATAAACTACTCTGTGAGTCGATATAGAGAGCTTGAATCAATATGGAGCTGCAGTTTTATAAAAGCAGAAACAAGGGTGTGCGATAGACTTACCTCCACGTGGCACACCCTGGGCAACGTAGTCTCATACGAGAAAAACTCTACTAACCGGCGGTTGAATTTGACTTCAAACTACCATGACCCCACTGTATGCCGCATTCGTCCCCTTCACAGTACTCATCTTACCTTATCTCTGCCTTTGTCTGCCTGCCTCTTTTACATCTTTCAATCCCTCTTCTCTTCCCTCTCTCAACTTTTTCTCACTTTGATGTTCCACCCCTCTCTGAAACCCAAAGTCAGCTATAGGGATAATGGTAAGTGCCATAAAGCCCGCCATTTAAAATAAATAAAAGCAGAAACATAACTTCTAATTCCTTCCCTTTAATGAACCCCGTATCTTACAATAGGCAAAATTGGAGCATTTCAAGAGAAGTTTATTTATTTCAAATGGCAGGCTTTATGATATTTATCATTAGCCCTGAAAACGTATGCCGATTGATAGACTTTTTTGCCGTAAGAAAATACGTTGTCCAGGGTGCACCACGAGGAGGTAAGTCTATCGCGCACCCCAATTCAAGAGAAGTAAGGAGGTGGGTAGGGGTTGTTTAAAAGTAGGACATAATAGAGTTGTATAGGGTTATAGTTCAATTAAACCGACACCATAGTGGTTAACCTTCAAGAGGTTGGCTCTAGCTAATGCACATCCAAGTAATTGGATAATCAAATATGCTGGTTAATTTTTGTTTAGTCACCTACTCATCAGAGTGGTTTCAGAATATGCATCTTCTAAATTATTTTTGTTGAGTGGTAGTTCATATTTGCGGCATTTAAAGTCAGCCTATTCGTAGATTGGGAATATGAGACTAGCCAGATAATAGAATGACAAGCTGATAGCTAGATTATTAAAAGTACCGTTAGTGTGTCGTTCTCCTCTGC